TGATTGGTCTATGGGAGATAATTGGCAGGAGGCGGTCTCTCAGGTACCCAGGTCCAATGCCATGTAGGGCTTTATAAGTAACGACTAGCACGTTGAAGCGAGTCCGGAGACTAATGGGTAGCCAGTGCAGCTCGCAGAGGATAGGTGTAACGTGGGTGTACCTGGGTGTATTCTAGATAGTGGACTGTTTAAAGTAGCCACCAAGTGGTTCAATGATCACCTTCTCCTCATTGTGGTCCAGGACGCTCTCCCTACGTTGCTGGGTGTCAACTGGTTCCAGGCATTGTGGCTAGACATTGTCAGCATTCACACCACTACAACTAAAGACTTCCAGCCCTGACCAATGAGTTCATGGATGTTTTCAAAGATGGTCTTGGTAAATATACAGGCACCCTTATATACTTTAATTTGGACCCCCAGGTAGCATCTATCCGCCTTAAGCCTAGGAGAGTTCCCTTAGCACTCTGCCCTAAGGTGAATGCTGAGTTAGATAAGTTGATTGCCCAAGGGGTGTTGGAACCTGTGGATCATGCCAATTGTTATTCCAATTAAACCAGATGGCTCTATAAGGGTGTACGCTGATTACAAGATCACCCTGAGTAGAACCTTGCAAGCTGACCCTTACCCTGTTCCAGTGGTACGGCATCTGCTCCACTCACTGACAGGGTTCCATTTTTGCAAAGCTTGATCTTGTGCAGGCATATCAGCAGCTTCTTGTGGACGGTGCCACTGCTGATGCACAGACAATCATTACACATAGGGAAGCTTTTTGCTGTTGCCGCCTACAATTTGGGATTAGCATAGCCCCAGGGATCTTACAGAGCCTTATGAAGGCTCCAAGGGATCCCTCGGTTTGTACCCTATTTTGATGATGTGCTTGTCTGTCCTAGCGACCAGCATGCACTCATCTTCACCTTAGGCATTGTGGTCACCAGGTTCTGCAAAGTTGGATTACAACTCAAAAAATCCAAATGCAAAATTGGGGTCCCCCAAGAAGAATTTTGGGGGTATCTTATTGATAAATCTGGCCTCCATCCCACTCCTTCTAAATTGGAGGTGATCCTTCAGGCTCCCACCCCTAACAATAAAATGGAGCTCCAATCTTTTTTAGGCCTTTTAAATTTCTATGCCGCTTTCTTGCCGCATAAGGCCTTGGTCACATGCGCAGGGGTCCGGCGTATCTCCAGGACTACGCATGCACCATACGGGAAGAAAGGGATGTTGTGTCCGGATTCCGTAGATATGCCACCGCAAGCCCGCTCACGATTGGCTGAAGGTGTGTCACCAAGAGCGGGAAAACAAAGGATACTGATTGGCTGCCCATTTGACAGCCAGCATACAAAACAGCTGTCAAACGGGCAGCATATTTATCGATGGTTCAGAGCTACTGTTAGCTTTTTCTAGTTGTGTTAATAAACTTGAGTTGCATTATATCCATGTTGCCTCAATCCTGTCCCTCCAGTCTCCCTTCAGAAGAGATGCACCTTTTGTGGTCCAAGCTGATGCAGGTGAACGTAGCTGTAGGGGTGGTACTACTTCAAACTAATGCTGATGGAACCCTACAACTTTCCACCTATACCTCCCGGAAATTGATTGAGATGGAAAGAAGATGGGCCATTTGGGGAAAAGAAGCTTTTGCAGTCCATTGGGCCCTGCTGACCTGGTGGCTTTTCCTCGAAGGAGCCAAGCATTCTTTTGCGGTGTGGACTGATCATAAGAACCTCGAGGCTTTGAAAACCTCACGTAAATTGTCGCCCAAACAAGTTCACTGGGCATAGCACTTTAATCAATTCAATTTTATTCTGAGATACCTTCTGGGAGGGAAGAATTTTATGGCAGATGCCCTATCCAGGCTACCCCAATATAACAGTGCCAGGCCGAAGGTGATTCATCTGGTCATTCCTTCAAAGCAACTAGCAGCTCCAGTAGTCACCAGGAGCCAAGGAAAAGTTGACCTAGACATACCCATAGAGCCAACAAAACGTCTGAGAGAGGTGCTACCATCTGATGACTAGTTCAAAGCCCACTCAAGTGAATGCACCATGTGGGATGGCCTTGCATGGTTGCGGGCCAAGTTTTATGTGCCTAACAGTCTGAAAAGCATTGCCCTCCAACAAGCCCATGATTCAAAAGCGGCTGGACATTTTGGGTTCGTGAAGACCTTACATTTGGTTAGAAGACAGTTTGGGTGGTCTTCTTTGAAAAAAAACATAGAACCCAACATTGCTAGTTGTCCTGCTACACGCAAAGAGACCACCAGGAAAACTACATAGACTACTCCAAAATGTTGCCAGACCTGGTGCCCTTTGGAAGGAGATATCCATGGATTTCATTGTTGAGCTACCAGAAAGTAATGGCAATACTGTCATTTGGGTGGTCATGGATTTGTTCTCCAAGCAAGTGTATTTTGAGCCTGCTCCAAGATTCCGTCAGCGAAAACACTGGCTAAACTGTTCATCCTACATGTGTATGTATAGGTTACATGGTGTTTCTGAATGCCTTATCTCAGATAGAGGAGTCCAATTCATCTCCCACTTTTGGAGGGAGTTCCTAAAATTGTTAGGCTCCACCCAAGGTCTAAGCTCTGCTCACCACCCATAGACAAATGGGGCTTGTGAACAGGCTAACTTGGTTCTAGAGCAATACCTCAGGTGCTAGTCAATTATCAGCTGGATAATTGGGCCGACCTTTTGCAGAGGTCGTGTATAATAATTCTGTACATAGCAGTACAGGATTAACCCCATTCAAAGTAGTGTCTGGCCAGGATTTTGTACCTATCCCTGAATTGCCCCAGGAGAAACTACAAAACCTTTCCTTATACAAGTTGCTTAAACAGCTACAAGTTATCTGGCCTTGTAACTCGTAAAGCGTTAGACAAAGCTCATCAAGCACTAAAAAACAAGCTGATAAGAAAAGGATGAAGCCAAAAGAATACTAGATTGGAGAGAGGGTTTTCCTGTCTACTAAGTATCTTCAGACTACCCAAAAGTCGAAGAAACTTGGACCAAAATATGTGGGCCCTTTCCCCATTGTCAGAATTGTTAACCTGGTTACAGTGCAGTTGGAGTTACCCAAAACCCTTAGGAGAATCCATCCCATGTTTCATGTTAGTTTACTGAAACTGGAAGATACCTCCTCAATTTGTCCAGCCCACACCCCTCCTCCAGTCCCCCTCCTTATTGAGGAAGAACAGTATTTTGAAGTCAAAGAGATCCTTGATTCCAGAAAACATAGGGGGGAAATACAGTATTTAGTTGCTTGGAAACATTTCCCTCCCTCCCACTCTGAGTGGGTGAATTAGTCTGATGTTAGGGCCACAAAGCTTTTGTAGAAGTTTCATTCTAAATGCCCTGATAAATCTTGAATATGTTGTATTAATGTTCTTATTGTTACTTTTTTTCTGTGTCTTTTGTTTCTCTCCAGGGATAACACCTTTTCTGCAGGAGTGCCCAATGTCAACCTCTATATCCCTTGCTTGCTATCAGCTGCCATAGTAACAGGGAGGGAGGGGCATTTCAGTATTTGGGAGGGATATCATGCTGGAAGGGATATCTCGAAGAGGGAGTTTTGTTTTCACCATCTTCTGTGCATGTTGAATGCTCCTGTTTGGATCAAGGCCAACCGTCTCTGCATACTAGCTTCATGAGGCCACCTGAAGATGCACCAAACACAACCCACTTGGGGGTTGGAGACTGGACATTTAGCTTGTGGTTGTTGGGGGGAGAGATTTGGGTAAACTTTTATATGTACAAGTTTGTGTCATTTAATGTCACATCTTGCTTTACTTTTGCTGTTTTCACTTCCTATCCAATAAAAGTACCTTTTCTCTAAAACAATGGAGTTGGGGGTTTCCTTTCTTGGATTTTGAAGGAGGCATGTTTAACACTAAACAATGAAGGTGCACAAATAGAAAGATGAATAATTGCAGTAAAATATTATACAAGTTTTCAGAAACTGAGGTAGGAAGAGGCCTGCCCAAGGAGAGAGTTTTACATTAGTTGGAATAGCAATAGCAATAGCACTTAGACTTATATACCACTTCACAGTGCTTTACAGCCCTCTCTGAGCGGTTTATAGAGTCACATATTGCCCCCAACAATCTAGGTCCTCATTTTACCCACCTCAGAAGAATGGAAGCTTGAGTAAACCTTGAGCCAGTGAGACCCGAACTGCTGAACTGCTGGCAGCTGGTGATCAGCAGAAGTAGCCTGCAGTATTGCATTTTAACCACTGTGCTACTGCAACTCTCCTCCCAGACTTTTCCAACTAATCTTGCTTTTGATAAGGATAAAGTCTTTCAACGACCATAGGGATATGAGATTTTATTTTCTATTTACATTTCTTTGATTAATATTCTGTCTTTTTTCATTGCCTTGTCTATGGATATTGCCAGTCTTATACTTTGTAGTTTCTTTGCAGTGCTTTGCTTAATTAATTCTTTTAATGTATACCTTTACTTTATTAGTGTATTCATAGTGAATCTCCTGCTCACTTTTTAATGTGGCAAAACACGCAGTTGGCTTTATAAATATTCATTGGCATTACTAATTGGACACATTCCTCCAATGACAAGATAATGCAATATGATTGGTGAGAGATTTTGGCAACTCTGAAGCTGAAACTCTTATAACAAAGAAGTAACATCTGTGGATCTGTTTAATACCCATGTTCTCACATCTTTGTTCTCTTTTCTAGGAAGTAAAGACCTGTTTTTTAAACAAAAATAGTTTGGAAATACTCTGTTTATGATGGGTATTCTTCAAAATCAAATCATACATAGTTCTAAACTCACCTTCAACAATGTCACCCATATAGTGATTAAGGGTCTGTGTTAATTCATCAGCACCACGATCCAAGCTGGTGTTCATGCTAAACTTTTCTGTCAGAGCTGTGAAACCTTCAAAATAATAAGCAGTTACTGTCAGTATAACATTTTGAGACTGTGGATTGGGGATAAAAGGAGGACAGGCAGGAGTTGACTCATTAAGACTTTGAAAAGAAAACCTTATCTTGAAGAAGAGAAACAAACAGCTATAACAAACTGACAAAGGAAAATCTCCATTGAATCTCTCCTTGACAGCAGTTGACACATAGAGCATTATTTCCTGCATCGCGCATTTCTGTATCCTCAAAGTAAGTCCTCTTTTTGCCCAAGAAAAGAGAAATAATAGTTAAATAGATGCACCTGTTGAAACATCAGTAATTCCCTTGAGGTTTACTGTGTGTTTATATGAATATTTTAAAACTTTGCTTTATTTTCAGGAAGAGCAGCAAAGGTTTGCACTATCTTTTTCTCATGTAGCATTTTATGTTTCCATTTTAAAAAAAACTCTCTCTGAAATCTTTCCCCTTCCCTCAGTGGCACACTGATTTCCTTTGCTTACCTGAAATGTCCATAAATAGCAAAACACCATCAAAGCTTTCAATAAAAGGCAGTTCCTGAGCAAAATCTCCATACACAATGATATCAGGGACATGAGCAGCTAATTTACCAAGGGTTGAAATCTCAATTTGATCAGTCTTATTAGTCATTATTATTTCTGATTTGGAACACAACTTGAACACCTTATTCACTGCTATATAGGCATTAAATCTCCTGTTGTGATGCTCCAATACTGTGAAGACTTCTTTGTCTTAGATAACGCCTCCATTGTTAGATTTTGTGTCACAATGAACTGAAAGCAGTTTCTCCTCCAATTACAGTAGACGGATTATACTTCACCTAACAACTGTTGCTAGGCTAAAGCATATCCTTTTCAACAGTGAATTCTCTTAGTTACAGATTAAGCTGTCACTTAATCTGCAATGTGCAGCAGTGAGACAGCATCGTGTGGCAGTAGTCAAAAAAGCGAATACAGTCCTTGGTTGCATAAACAGAGCCATAGAATCAAAATCATGTGAAATTCTTCACAAAAGCCTTTATAAAACCTTAGTAAGACTTCACCAGAAATACTGTCTCCAGTTTTGGTCACTACGTTACAAAAGAGATGTTGAGACTTTGGAAAAAGTGGAGAGAAGAGTGACTAAGATGATTAAAGATCTGGAGATTAAAATATATGAAGAACGGTTGAAGGATTTGGGTATTCCTAATGTAGAGTAAAGAACATGACAGCAGCATTCTAGTACTTGAGGAGCTGCCACAAAGAAGAGGGGATAAAAGCACCAGAAGGCAGGACAAGAAACAATAGATAGAAACTAATCAAGGAGAGAAGCAACTGGAATTAAAGAGTAACTTCCTAACGGACTATGAAGATTCTCAGTCACCCAGGTCACCGTTGTCCCAAAGCTTCTTTTTCAAGAGGCAACTGGGCTTTCTTGTTTTTTTTCTTTGAAGACATTTAGTCTTTCATCCAAGAAGTTTCTTCAGCTCTGGCTGGATGGTGGGTAATGGAAGGATTTATATTCCTTGCAGACAGCTGGATATTTGAATTCCTTTAGAGTCATTGAGACCATTTGGAGATTTATCTGTGTCCTCATGGTCACCTGAGAAGTGCAAATGGTTGTTTAAGTTTAAGTTTTATTTTATTTATATGCCGCCCTATTCCCAAAAAGGGACTTAGGGCGGCGAACAACTTAAACGGGAAAGGGAAACATACAAGTACAAAATAGACATTTAAAATGACCAACAACCACACCTGTCGAGAGGGGAAGGGAGCTCATCAATCCCAGGCCTGCCGACACAGGCAGGTTTTAACGGCTTTTTGGAAAGCGGGGGGGGGGGGGAGGGCCCAAATTCCCCCGGGGGGTTCGTTCCAAAGGGCTGGAGCTGCAACAGAGAACTCCCCCGGGTCGTAGCCAGATGGCATTGGCTAGTGAATGGAACCCGGAGGAGGCCAACCCTGTGCGATCTAATGGGTCTTTGGGAGGTAATTGGCAGCAGGCGGTCTCTCAAGTACCCAGGTCCAATACCATGAAGGGCTTTATAAGTAATAACTAGCACCTTGAAGCGTATCCGGAGACCGATTGGAAGCCAGTGCAGCTCGCGGAAGATAGGTGTAACGTGGGTGTATCGAAGTACACCCACAATCGCTCGCGCGGCCGCATTCTGGACCAGTTGAAGTCTCCGAATGCTCTTTGTGAAGCCTGAAAGGAGTGTGTTGTAGATTGGAGAGAAATCATGTCATATCCTCACCCCCTCTGTTGAGAGAGGGCTGTTCAACTTTGACCTAGATGGCCTTTGACCCTGTTGGAAGAAATATCAAGGAGAAAGGGGCTGGAAACAAAATAAAGGCTGATTGGAAAGAAAGTTTTTTTCCCCCCAGAAAACTTTTTTTTTTTAATTCTCTTACCATTTTAAGTATACATGCACATAATTATTTTCTTCTTTACATTTATCATTCTTATACATTTGTTATTCCATTTTATAGGTTACAATATACATATATGGTTTGGGTTGCTTTGTTTACCATCCCCTCCTCCTGTTGTAACACCACCTGATTTTCCCTTTCTTTTCTCCCTCCTTCCCTTCTCTACTTTCCTCCTCTCCTTTCCCTTCCTTCTTCCCTTACCTTTCTCCTATTCCTACTCTTCCTCTTCCCCTACCTACCCTCTCCCCTTCTCTTCCTCTCCCTTCCATCCTCCTCTCCTTAGCTCTTTCTTCTTTCCCCCATCTTCCTTTCATTCTCTCCTCCTCTCTCTCTCTCTTGGAAAGAAAGTTTATTGATGAACAGTGTGCAGTTCTGGGGCAGCTGACCAAAATGGAATTGAGAGTGGGTGGGTTTTTTACCTTTTGGATCCATATGGGGTCATGTAGGGGTCATGGCTGGCGCTTTAGGCAAAAGGGGAAATGCAAATCCTAGGTTTTGTCTAAGTTAATCTTGCCAATCTTTGGCTTGTTGCTTATCTGAAGTTTCTGTCTGACCCAGTCTTTCTGAATGGATTACCAAATCTGCATTTCTAAAAGCTGGCCTCTTCAGTTTCTGCTTGGGACAGGGACACTGGTGCTAGTTTCTGCCTCCTTTAAGATTTTTTTCCCCTTTTCTCCTTTAGGGGAAATATTTATCCTGTCTTTTTAAGATCCCCCAAAATATTTCATTCTCTAGGAGGGTCTATAGGTACTGACTTTCTACAACCCCACTTTCAAACCACATATTTCTCAGGATGCATGTTGTGGGATGCTGGTACAAACAGGATCCAGCTGCTCTGGTCCTTATCACCAGTCATCCCCCCCCCCCAATTTCCTACCACAGACACACAAAGCTTATTTGCTCTTTCATCCTTCCCTCCCCCTTCTTCTTTTGATGGTAGGGTGTCTGTGAAGCAGAGGTGGTATTCAGCTGGTTCTCTCCAGTTCGGGCAAACTGGTAGCAGCGGCTGCGGGAGGCTCCACCCACCTGCCCCAACATAATGCACAAGCACTGCACATGCACAGACAGCAGTGCACATGTGCAGACGCAGCGTGCACTCACATTTGTGAACCGGTAGCAGTGACATGCAGTCACTAGAGGCAAGGGAGGCGGGGCCTCACCAATCTCCTGAGGAAAAGGAAACTATTTTTAAAATAATT